AAAAAAAACTTCTATTACATTTTGCAGGCTAAGTTTATTTTAAGCTTGAGGTATTCTAAGCAAATGTATTTTTTCTAAGCAATTTGTCACCATAAATAACAGAGGTGCAAAAAAAAATGTACAGTAGCTTAACTATGGCGTGTGAATTTGCTTACTGTTCCTGGCCCTTATGAAACAGGGCACTTCTCTGTTTCTCAGCTCACTGTTGCAAAATTGAGGGTGCTTTTCACACTCTTATGATTAAGTTTCACAACTTACCTTACATGTATATTATTTGTAGAAATAGAAACAGCCATGCAGACAAACATTTTTCTCTTGCAACTGTTGTTAACCTGGATGATCAATGCAATCTTAAAAAGTAAGTAGCGGTGCTCTGGTTTAGTCACAAATATTCCCTTTCTTTTTATTTAAAGAATTCAAGGTCTACTTTCCCCATATGGTCTTCCTGTAGATTTCTGGACTGCCATAAGTTGATGGTGGCTGGAATTTCTGAGAAAAGCAGTCTTGAGACATAGGAAGCTGCCTACTTACTGTATTTTTGGAAAACTGTTGTTGAGTTCTAAAATTACTCCAGAAATATATTATTTCAGGATGTGTAAATATAAGATTCCACTTCAGTGTAGGTTTTCAAAATTTCAATCAAGAGTTGATCTATAAATTTAGTCTGAATAGCTGAATCCCCTTTGAATTATAGCATTAAATTGTCCTAGAAAGCACCAGAATCTCATCAAATTTCTGAACTGCTTTTGAATCTCTATGAAGGCATATGATGAGATACAATTTATTCAGTGCCCTGAATCAATTCACAGAATTAATTTATGGAGCTGATTCAACTGAATCTCCTTCAAATTGAATTATCTCTTCAAAGTTTTGAGCATCCCAATTCCATATTCTGAAATTCTAGTCCAGCCTCATCTGTTATATGCTGAGTATAAGAACATTATTTTTCATGCAAGAACATTCAATTGCATGTATTCCAAATTGTACCATAATCTGCAGAAAAAGAAGACAATTCCACGGGTAAAACGTGTTTAGCATTGGAGTGGGTAGTAATGAGAAATTCACATCACACTTTAAGTAAGTGCTAGATGGCACCACTCAAATCATCTTGTTAATCTTAAGAACCTTATAAAACACATTAAAATGTGATTGCAGCACAGTGGATTTTTTTTTATAACAACATGGTCTTCCCAGACACTCTCATAATTTATTCTAAATCCCTTTGCTAAAATGGAGTGCTTCATCTATTAACATTCCTAGGTTGAGACAAAGATGGCCCTAATGTCTGTTTTTTAAAAGATATCCAATAAAGAGAAAGTTTTGCACAGAATTTCCCCTTTGTGTGTTGTCATTTCTCAACTGGACACAAATTATGCTGCTTTCATTCTCTATGCTAAGATTTCATTCCTTAGCATCTGGCAGGCACATGGAATTTGGTAGCTTTTTAGGTTTAAATATTGCATTATAAAATCATCTACTTTAGCTTTAGATTATTTCCATGAAATAGTAATGAAATTCTTTTTTTCTCCAGTTTCTAATTATTGGAAAATTAAAATGTATTTATTAATATACTGGTAAATATATCACGTTATATTGCATTGTGCATCTGACAGAACTCACAGTGCACATTTAGAGCATAGTAATGCATTGCCTGTTTGCTGTATTTATTTAAAACTATTTTACATATTCAATTTCTATAGCTGCCCATCTCAATCAATGACTTTTCACTGTTAGCAAGTTTTTGTTACTTGCTTTTAAGAATGTTATATGAAATGTGAACATTCAGACCTTACTATGTACAGGAAAGGTTTCAATGATGAACGGATACTGAGTTCCTTATTTATTCTTTTTATCAAGGGCATAGAGTCTCTTTTCATGTAACAATTTCCAGAGGGGAAACCTGTTATTCGTTAGAGCAGAAATAGCCATTGTGAAGTAAGTGAAAGAGTGTCTTGTGGGGCTGAAGTAACCTGTTAGTAATTTGGGGAGAGTGCCATATTTTTTCACAGATATGTGCCCAGGTATTTTTGGACAAAGAACTTGTGGTTTCTTCTTTTTCCTGTAACCATAATGAATCTCTTGGCAGAATTTCAAGGGCAGGACAACAGAGAGAAACTGATTCTTTTGGGGGGAAAACTAAAACAAAAGATTAGAGTTTGTCATTGTTAAGGATAAGGTTCTTTGGGGTAAAAAAAAAACAACAGTTTCCTTAGGAAATCCATTTTCAAGGCATTTCAATCCTGTTCTGAATAATGAAAGTAACTTCCATCATCTTAATGGAATTTCTCTGCCTATTAATCAATAGTTCTCTGCCCACCTTTTGTTGGATTTAAACTAAATCAATCTTCAATCAAAACCAGAGCATTTATTCCCTCCCCACACTTCTCCTTTACATTTTTGTCCCTATTATTAACCCTGTGAGGTAGTCCAGACAAGAAACACAACCAGAAGCCCTAGCTGTAACTTTATTATAAGATTGCATTTACAGATTCTTGCAAGATTGAAAAGATCTCCCCCCTCCTCTCTTTTTACTCTATAGGAAACTAGAGTCCCTTCTGAAATGTTTCCCACATCAACTTCTTTCTAACCACTCAGTGAGCTAAGATACTTTTTGCACACTGGTTTTCCTGACTATGGTTCTCCCTCCTGTCTCCCAAGGTGATTCCCATTATTTCACCTGGATCAGTGTTTTTTTTTTTTTCACATTCTTACAGTTCAGTTGTTGTTGTTTTTGTCAGATATCCATTTATGTGGCATACCTTTTAGAACATTTTGTATGATTATAACTTCTGAATTTTGTATGATGTTAGGATTGAAATTTGGAACTAACTGTTTTAGTTGAATATTAAAAATTGAATAAATGAGCGGCATGGTGGCCTTGTGGTGAAGATCCTCACCTCCCACTCAAAAGGCTGAGAATTCAATCCTAGACAGTGGCAGATGTTACTCTCCTAGGGCACAGAGAAAAAATATTACTGTGCACTCCACATGGAATCAAGGACGGCATCCGGCCAGTAAGCGCTTAGTCACTACAACTCTTGCCTGTATTAAGAGATCATAGAATCATATAAAAGTTATTAAAAATTAAATAAATGTCATAATTCTCTCAAATAAGCAAAAGCAAGCCCCGCTTTCCCCTTATATCTTATTTTCACAGAATCTAGAATGATTTGGATTACCAGTTACTAGAGTAGAAAGATTTGCTATATTTTGTACATCCAAAAAAATCCATGCAAAGAGCTTCTTGATAGAAACTCCATACACTTCTCTCTACCTATATGGTCACATTAATATAAAGCACTGTAGCAATACAATCTCCACATATTCAGAGTTTAATATCCACTGTTGCTTCTAATGCAGCCTCCAAACAAAATAGGCCCTTCAGGGTGGGTTTAATGTTTTGGAGTAAATGTACATGCTAAGCTGGGAGATGTTTAAAAGTAACATGCATCATGCTTCATATTTCAAAATGTGATTCATCAACTCTGCTTGCTCATGTTGCTGAATGATACTCAGGTTGTATGCCCCCAAATTCTACCCCCACAACTTCATTGGATTCAGAAGAGTCCAAGCTGGGAAATATTGCTTTTGATACACCTGACAAATGCCAGGAATTGCTGGGAGGCAGTGCTGTAAACAGCCAAGTTAGTCTCAAGAAAAACCTAGCAGATATCTGAGGCTGATGAAGCTGGTGAATGTGCAAAGCAGCTGGCAGCATCAGGCAATGAAAAGATAGCTCCAGGACCTTCTTCCAGCCTTAGAGCACATTACAGAACACCAAGCAGTGCAAAGCATTCCCACCCTTGATTGCCTAATCCTGCAATAGGTACTGTTACTATTCAAGAGCAACCCTCCATTGGAAACAACCATTCTGCTTGCCAGATCTCTGTGCATTTGTCTCCTGAACTCATTGCCTAAGAAAACTCTATCCTTTGGAACCCAAATTGGCTGACAACCTACATTTGGGCTCTTTGAATTGCGATCCAATTATCTTTGTGAGTTCCCAACTTGGATTCTTACTTTTGGGACCTTTGAGGCATGTTCCCTAGGAAATGGTGGGACTTGAACACACAGCTTGTTTGTTTTTGCTTGTAATTGCACTGATCTGAAGTAAAGTCTTGCAAATAAATTCTTTTATGTGCGAACAGGGTAACTGATGTGTCTCTTCAATTCCCTTTGATATATCCATACCGTCCAATGGGAAAGGTTCACAATCACAGTGGGATGGAAACCACATCACTCATGTGGCTGGGGTTACTTTTGTTTTTTAATCTTGGTACTGTATCCCTATTTAAGATTATTCCATTACAGCTTTCATCTGTTTCCCATCATTCTTTTTTTTTTTTTAAATCAAACTTGTAATCTTTCTTATTTTTCCATCATCACAGGGTAATCACACAGAGAGGAAATATAATATTAAATTATTTACAGTTTCATTTGACTCTCCTTTTCCCCCCCTTGGACATGGAAGTGACTGCCCATTCATTGATGGAAGACTGTTTCAGGGGAATCAAAAAGGGGGTTTCAAGGAATATAAAAAGGGGGCATGAGGTCCACATGTGGTTTTGGGCACAAGTTACCTGTTCATAACCTTAGATTATAGCCATCTGAAACATATGTTGTGTGAGTTGGTTTTCCATTAAGAACAATGCAAAAGAGCAATACAAACCCCTCCTCTGTATCACTGAGATCCTGAGTGATCCTCATATTTGGTTCTGCCTCCCGCTCTTCTCCCCATATTTATGGAATGGACAAATCACGTATAAAGCTAATCTTAAACTGTTAACCAAGACTTATTATGGTTTTTGTGCTTCTTGTGAATTCTTCTGCACCTTGTAAATGCCAAGTTGGCCACTGTTCTTCATTAGTCCATCAACTTGTGACAGCCATTTCCAAGCAAACTTTATAATAAATGGAATGACTATCAGCTAGATAAATTAAATTCTTTGTTTGAACTTGCTGTAATATTTGCATTCAATGTATTTATCTAGAAATGATTGAGGAGTGGTGGGTTTTTTTTTTTTTTTTTGGCATCAGATTGGATCCTATTGGCATCAATTTCCTTAAAATTACATTACTGTTTACAAAGCATTACTTTATACCTTTCATTTCATTCTGATATTTGTTTATCTCTTGCGTGAACCTCCTATTTTTTATGTATTGAAAAACTGTTTTTCTGGTTCTTCCCAGGCACTGTTTATTTTGTAAGGACAAAGGGGCATTGAACAAACGCTGGCACATAGGAGTGAATAATGTTGAACTACAGTTTATGAAACTCCTGGTCTCAGACTTACAACACAAAAATTAGACAATTTTCTTTGATTCTACCTTTCCCAACTCTTGCATTGGTAATATGCCCCCTCATGAAATCTTCTGAAGAACTTGAAAACTTACCATTTCTTGTCATTTTGTTTGAGTTCAATAAAGATATTATCCAGGTTGGGGGTTTTCTGCTGACAGATCAGCATGGCTACTATTTTTTTAAACATCTTCAATTGTTATATATAATGGGAAAAACTATGTTTTTCTGATCTCACAATCAAGTGTATATTTTGACTGTTAAAAATATGGAGAATTCCTAGGAACTTCTTGAGTTTCGCTTGTAACTATTAGATACAGTTAATACAGCACTTATCTTATATCTGCTTTGAAGAGCACACTTATAAAATGTAATAGCAAAACAATATTGTTGATAGTGCCTTGCTGAGTTTTCTTTCTCTATTTTGACACCATAAAAATATTTTGGATTTCAGTTCCAACAATCCAGGATCAAAAATATTTCACGTCTCTGACCAATCTTCTTATACATTTCATTAAAGGTGTGAATAATTTCTGTAATATTTGTGTCTTGGATATTTGATTTAATGTACTGACATTTATCATTTGACAGTATTTATAAATTTTGCAATGGAAGCACATAAACAAAGTGTAATCAAACATGTGCATGAAATTAAGGCTGCTCAGGATAACAGGTTGGATGACTTTGGACCAGTCATTCTCTCTCTCTCTCTCAGCCCAACCCACCTCAGAGGGTTGTTGTGGGAAAAATAGTAAGAGAAGATGTGTGGGGCATGTTTGCCACCTTGGGTTCATATTTCTAGATAATTCCATTGATTTCCCCATGTTTCTCATATTTATTTATATCCCACTTTTATTATTTTTTTATAAACTTGTCAAGGCAGCAAACATATTTTTTCTTCACAAATAGGAAGATTTCACTAAATCTTACCTGAAATTCAGCAAGTTTATAGAATCTGCTAGAGCAGGAGTGTCAAATTTGTGGCCCATGGGCCGGATTCATCACATGCTGGCCACACCCATGTCCAGTTTAATGAAGGGAGAAAAAGTCACGATACATCATGTGATGATGCTGTGATGACGCGAGTTTGATACCCCTGTGCTAGTGGTATCAAGAATTTTTGGGAGATTAGTTTGCTAGAGGACGTAGAGATCCCAGGTACTTTTTGGTACTCATTTGAAAGGAAGACAGTGTCTATAATTCTATAAAGTGCAAATGAGGAACCTATAGTCTTTCAGTTATGTATCATTTTAACTGTAATTTCAGTTAATTTGGCTAATGCTGGGGGATAGTGGAGCCCTCCAATATAGAATTTAGCAATATTTAAAAGACTAGAGATTCCATACTCCTATGCTGTATACATTTAGGATTCAACAGGACATATTTCTTAGAATAAGAAATTCTAAGTGGACTTCTGAAGCCACAAAGCCAGAGGTGGTATTCAGTAGGTTCTGACCAGTTCTGGAGACCCGATAGTGGAAATTTTGAGTAGTTTGGAGAACCAGCAAATACCACCTCTGACTGGAGATTTTACAGTATCTTTCCCCTGCCACGCCCACCAAACCACACCCACAGAACCAGTAGTAAAAAAAAAATTAAATCCTACCACTGCACAAAGCCCATATTAATTGATATATTGCATAATAGGAAAGGGAAATAACTAAAATCAACAATTTGCTTAGCACACTAAGAAAACTGACACTTCAAACAATCATCAGTCTTGCTTTGAAAAAGGATTGTCAATTTTTCTGTCTTTAAACAGGCATTGCTAACAGATGCTCCTTGTTCTGACCCAGGCTTTGTCAAACTTAATACAACAAAAACTGAATTTTAAAGTAAAACCTTTTTTAATGCAATGCTGGGAATTACTTGCATTCCCAATCAAAACTCATTATACACAATTCCTTCAAATAAGAGCATGCTTTTCAGTGCTGTAGAATGCTGCCAGGAAATAGAAGTCCAATAAAGACTAGCAATAACCAACCCCAAAACCTAGAAAAAAAACCGACCAGGGTACAGAGCTTCATGAAGGACTCAGAGATTACTGAACTGCTTTGCTTCCTGCAAAGCTCTTCATCATTGAGGACTGATTTTTATCCCTTATGGAAGGGGCAATCACCTCCCAGCCTTACTCCCGAGTCACCCCTTCTGCTTCAGCTGCTCTCGCCTTCTAGCAGCTCTGCGTACACATGCACTGGGAACAGGCTCCCCAGGGTCCTCTGCTTCACTGCTGCCAGACTCCAAAAGCTCCAAAGGCAGCACTCCACTCTCAGATGGTCCTGGCCCCATCCCTGCATTGGATGCAGGACCCTCATCCAAGTCCTCGCCAGATTCCCTGACTGGTTCCCTTTCGTCTTCACTGTCCGATACCTCTGCCATCCACACCAGCTGCTGGTGAACCACCACACTTCTGTCACACATTATTTGACTCTGGATAATACAGTCAGAATCTTGGCCTCTCTCATAAATCTGTTTTGAAAAATATCAAGCCACCCATGCAGCTTGTATTTATCTAATCAAACACCATTCAAGCCTATGATCCTGCTGAGATTTAACAGGGAGACTGTAATCTCTGTGTACCTCATCTCAGATGAAAACTACCAAATTCAGTTGGCCTTTTTCCAGGTAACTCTGTTTCACACTGCAGCCTTAGGCATGTGAGAGCAATCTGAAAAGCTTTTGATAAATTTCTGGGTATGCTATTCAGCTCTTCTATTCTTCAGGCAGTCTCTATGCTCAGAGCACCGGGACAATCTAATTTACAGCTATAGTTCACCTGAGAGTAGAGTATTGAGGTATTGATGTAGTTATATTTGATTATGTGCCACAAAGTGCATGTCAACATCCACCCATCATGCTATAGGTCATCCTTCTTCCCCTCTTTACTTCCATTCTTCTCAGCATTGCCATAATAATGTGTCCTAAATATGATAATGTGAACCCAATAATTTGTGCCTTAACTGAAATCTTTGGACTGATTTATTATGTTTATTTGTTTGTTTTCTTGTTAGAAATAGGGAGTTGCCATTGCTAAACCAGGCAGACAAACAATCAGGATTAAGTGTCTGCAAATCAGGGGTGAAATTGGGAGAGGTGATAGGGATGATTTCAATCAGTAAAAAATCACCCCTGGTTGCTATTACTATTATACCAAGTATCCCAAGCCACGCCCACAGAGCCGGTAGGGGAAAAAATTGAATTTCACCCCTGCTGCAAACGCCAAATCACCACAACCATATGCCATGTACATTAGCAGCCACTGTACTCCAACAGAAATGTTTTGAGAAAAGTGCATCCTTTAGTTTTACTAATACTGGGATTGCATTATTGCTTATGAAAATGTATGGGATTTTTTTTTTCTCCCCAAAGTGTTTTATCATTATGGCTATCTGCTTAAATTAATTGGTTCTAGCATTTATTGTTCAATAAGAGTAAAAAAATATTTTAACTCAAAATCAAGCATGTGTATTTTTGAATCAACTCTTTTACTAATAATACATGGATTTTAAAAAATCAATTTTAGCCAAGGCAACACAAGAAATTTTAAAAATTTGGTGGTTGCAAAATTTAATTCTTATGAGTTTATTTTATCCACAGTCTCTCTAAATAAAGGTAAACATCCCTGCATTTTCAGGTCTCAAACTTGTTTCTCTATTTTGAGTAAATTACCTCAAAGAAAACAAAATGTCCTTTGTGGATTAATAAAAGATGGTTCTGTGTTAAAAGTTAGATTATTACTTGAGTGATCTCCAAACCCAACATTTAAGGGATTTCCACTAGTTTCTTTAAAGCATAATCAAAAAGTAATTTCTTGAACAGACTTGCCTTTGCTCTGCACTTTATCGTGTAGGACTTGAAATTGTGCAGTTCTGTATAATTTAAGATTCATCACAGATACTATTCTTATTCATGCAAGGTCCAAAGCACGTTTTCTGGATCATTTTTGGAGTGTACACAGCCTTAATAATTTTGTGATGATACTTTGGCATGAACAGAGACAAAGCATGAAAAAAAATAATCATCATGTTGGTTTCTTGCAGGCAAAAGTAAATGAAGCTTGCTAAATATGTGCCTTGCCAAGAAATAAGGCACAACACTAATGTTCTTGCCAATAAATAAGGCACAACACTAAAGTGCAAAGGAACAGCACAATCTAACAGAACAGTCTGAAATTGCACATAATTCTTTCCTTCACCTCCCAAAGAATAATAAACGCTTTTGGAAGAAGACTGAAAATTCCAGGAAAGCAGGAAATCAAACAGACAGTTGGTATCATATATTTATTTTTTTATTATTTGTTAAATAATGAATGCTTTTAAAGAAAAATTTAACTGTTCTAAAATTTAGGGGGGGAAAGTGTTTTCTCCCAATAGGGTTAAACAAATTTGAAATAATATAGGAAATCCTTTTAATATAAATTATGACAGTTTATAGAGATTAGGGAAAAACAGAAGCATGACAACTGCAGAGAACACACAAGTTAGAGTGCAAATGGACAATAAGATTATTATAACAGTAAAGGAATTCACTTTCCTAGGCTTTAGGAACATGAAGTCCTTTACTCCATTGACCAAAGTGGTGACTACAGCCCAGAGGTGGTATTCAGCAGGTTCTGACCAGTTCTGGAGAACCGGTAGTGGACATTTTGAGTAGTTCGGAGAACCGGCAAATACCACCTCTGGCTGGATATTTTACAATATCCTTCCTCTGCCACATCCACCAAGCCACGCCCACAGAACCAGTAATAAAAAATTTTTGAATCCCACTACTGATACAGCCCTGAGAACAGAAAGTGTATAGCACTTGGAACAATTGCAGTGTCTGGCATAAATAACATCTGGAAGAGTAAAGACATCAGTCTCATAACCAAATGCAACTTAGTTAATGCAGCAATTTTTTCCAATTGCTACTTATGGATGCAAAACTTGGACTCTGAAAAAGGCAAATAGCAGAAAGATGGATGCAAACTGGGGTGCTGGAGGTGACTATTATGCATTCCATGGACTGCAAAAATAACAAACAAATATATTCTAGACCGAAACTCACCAAACACATCACCTGAAGCCAAGATCACCAACAGAGACTGTCATACTTTGGTCATGTTTTGAGAGCTGACTCACTCAAAAAATCAATCATGCTGGGAGTGATTAGAGGACAAAGGAGAAGGGCCACTCCACTGGCTGGACACTATAAAATATGACATTGAGATGACCATGGCAAATCTGAAGGAGACAGTGTAAGACAGAGGGGCATGGAGAGTGCTGTTCCATAGAGTGGCCGAGGGTCAAATAGGACTGAATGGCTGATGACGGTTACCAAATAGTAGTTGATGTACAGCAAACTCTCACTGACCTAGCAAAAGTGTGAACTATGCTTTGAAACATCCTTAAATACTTCAGTGAAAACTGAAACTGATTATCCAAGGGCACAATGGAATTCAGCTCTGAGGAAGATTTGATATGAAAAATGCATCCATGAGAAAACATTGAGTGAACAAAACTGAGCAGGACTGTGTACTACAGTCCACTGCATGGCTCCCAACCTATGAGGGGGATTGGAATGTGACCCTCTCCCAGTCTTGGGCTACCTTACAAGGCTGTAATAATAACATAAGCAAATCTTTGTGCCATCTTAAGTTCCTCACATGGAAGACAGATACAACTGTAATAAGCTGAGAGAGTAGAATGTACACATTTTTATTCTAAATGTTTTCCTTTTCCAGCTCTCTTTTCCACTACTTTTTACAAATAGGTGAGGAAGATACAGAGATTTTACTCCAGACAAGCAAGAGGGAAATTCTAGACAGTAACACTGGTTTTTGTTTGTTTGATATGTCAGTCAGTCAGCCAAGCAGCCAGCCTGTCACCAGCCAAGCCAACAGTCCAGGGCATTTGTTTTATTTATTGCTTAGTAAGACAGGGTGCCAGGCTGATACCAGTGGCTGACTGAGTCAGCAACTGCCACAAATTACAGAATAGCTATGAGAGGGAACAAAGAAAAGTTCAGGATTTTGGCAACAGGAAAGCTGTCTCTCTATTTCCAATTTGGAAGGTGAAGCTAAACAGATGCAAAATTGTTCCTTTCTCTGCCTTTTCTTTTCAAGAGAGTATTCATATGGCACGAGCAAAATGCATTCAAGGCTCCTAAGGAAAGTAGTTAGTTATTCTGGTTACTTTATTTAGAACCTCCTCACATTACTATGGAAATAGAGGAATTACTAGAAAGTGAAGAACTGAGCTTCTTGTTGGGTTAATCTATTTAACATGACCAAATGATGTGGACTGATAGATTGGCTGAAGTTTTGCGAAATGAAGAGATCAAAATTTTCGGAGATTCTAAAATTCAAATTGATAAGTCCTTGAAACCTACTAGATCAGACTACTTCTAAAGGTATAGGGCAGTGATCCCCAACCTTTTTTATGCCGCGGCCTGGTACCGGCATCAGCTGGGCGCCGCGGCCCGGTACCGGCATCAACTGGGTGCCGCCATCTTTTTTTGACGAAAAAGTGCTTCCGGTGAGCTTTCTACCCGGAAAAGCTCACCAGCAGCACTTTTTTATCAAAAAAAGATGGTGGCGCCCAGCAACCAGCGGCCCGGTAAGACTTGTTCCGCGGACCGGTACCGGTCCACGGACCGGCGGTTGGGGACCCCTGGTATAGGGGGAAAAGGAAGTCTGTTCATTGATGTGGCAATACCTGAAGTTAGTCAGATTAATGAAATGTTTTTCAAGAGAGAAAATAACAAAATATTGAGATTTACAAATTATGGGGGGAAATCAGTACTAATACCTACTGAAATTTGAATTTTGGTGTACTGTCATATTTTAAACTATGTATCAAACTCCCTTAATTTTGGGGGAAAAATCCTATTTAGAACAGCTTACATTATATGGCATTACCATCATAACTCTTAGGTCCTTGACTGTGACCTGAATCATGTAGACAACACTGTAGTAGTCAACACTAATGGACCCAGCCCATTAGATTGTGATATTCATTTAGGCAATTATAAGATGCATTTATACTCCCTTTTAATGCATTACATACATATCAATTAGCAGTTACATATTCTGTAAAAATGGTTCAGATATTTTATAGGAGAATGTTTTGGACATGGATGTAACTAAGTGAAAGATGTGGAAGTGTAAAACCTCCAATTTATTCCTAGACACCATTCTTGTCTCTGTTTATTCTTTCTTAGCCCTCTCAATACATTTCAGTCATCATCATGATTTCCATCCTTTTTCTACTCAGCAATTATATTCGTTCCATTGTAGAATCATATCACAATGGCCAGCTGAGCATCTTAATGTAACATTTGCTCTCTGTGTTCATCCACAATTCACTCGTGCAATGGAAAATATATGCTGAAATTCATTCTGATGATCTACCCTTACATTATGTTAAAATGCCTCTTAGTCCCATTGCAATTGCATGACAATGTGCCTGAGTCTTGTCTGTTCCCCCTAGTAATTTTATGACTAACATTGAAAGAGGTAATGACAAGGGTTTAAATAAGCAGGTGGAATTTTTTACTCAAAGGAGTCCTACAGGATGGTAAGCATAGGAAGCCAACCTGAATCCAAGGCAAGCATTGGGAGCCAGCATGAATCCAAGAAAGTTATCTATTCTTTCCCAGCACAAGACACAACTGATACAACTAAACAGTGCTTTCTTTGAGGAAAGCAAGAATTAGACAGCATCTAAAGCACAAAACCTCAATGTTCTTATTCAAAGGTTTTTCACATGGAGAAGTCATTGTCCTCCTTTGATTCCCAAACAATGTGAAAAAGAAGGAAGGAAGGAAGGAAGGAAGGAAGGAAGGAAGGAAGGAAGGAAGGAAGGAAGGAAAGAAAGAAAGAAAGAAAGAAAGAAAGAAAGAAAGAAAGAAAGAA